ACATGCATACTTGTAAGTTGTAACGTTATTATTAGGCTTATACGTACGATTGTTAACAACCGGTTCGTGGAGATCATTAAATTCTGAGAACAGGTTCGCACGAACTAGTGCGAACCGGCTGAATCCCACCACTGGGTATATTGCATGTGTGGTTATATCTTAACCTTTACACAACTGTACGTAGTGTACAAATATATCTTACTGAGGTATGTTCAGGTAAAAAAAAATTCAAAATTTGCTTGTATTATCTTAAACTGAGCTCATGCTTTCATGAATAGAGAAATAGTTGACTGGTTGTTCACCGAACTTACAGTTACTAATGTTTTTGGCTTTCTATCGATGTTGTATGTGTTCTGCATCCCAGTGCAGGTGTGCCACAGGAATTTGCAGAGAAGTTGAGATTTGTATTAGTTGATGCACATGAATTTTTAGCAACATGTGAGTGAAGTGTCGATATGTCAAAGAGATACCATTACGAGACAGTAAAAGGAATGAACATTTGAAATTGGAAACAGAATATGTCCTTTGAATGTACTGGGTAGATCAAAAATTAGGTTTAAGAGATTGACAAGTCATAGCATGGTGAGAGCCTTATGTTATGTGATCTCAAACCAGCTGATGAAGAGGAAGATGCTGAAGTCACTTTTTTGGTTGTTCCTGATGAGTTGGACAGAGGTTAGCAAATTTTAGGATAGATCAACCATTCAGGAGACTTTCCACAGCATCAACCTCTGAGGCTGTATAGCTGGGATTCAAACTGACCGAACTGAAGTGGATGCAAGATGCAGTCATCTAAAGACAGTTGCAGTCATTAATGGTATGATGGCTGCTATTTTTGAGTAAAATATTGATGACTGATGGGACTGTTGATGATGTCTAGGAATTCTCATGTGCCGACAGACAGGATTTTATGATTCTTGCTTTCTTAGAACTTAATTTGTCTGTTGGATTGTTACATCTATTGATGTTAGGGCAACATTTCAGGCAGGAAGAAATGTCACATAATTTTTGAGATAGCTTCTTAAGACCCTTTCCCAGAAAAGTTCTGAAGCAAGTAATCGGATCATTTTTATCATATGTATCTCACTGACCTCCTAAAATATCAGAAGTTGAATTGCCTTGGTAGTTTCAATGCTGACCTTTCCCGTAAAAAAACAAAAAAACTCTTGACCATCATAACTTTGTTGTAGAGACTTGAACAGGAGGTAAGCGTGAGAAACTGTCCAACATGCAAAATGTTTTCCTACAGGCCACAAACTATAAATCACTGTGTTTCCCCTTGGAAAAACAGAAGGAAATGTAAGTGAAGAAACCATTTTTGGCACTGACCTGTACCAGTGTCAGCTACAAAGGGTCAGCTATGTTATATAAACATAGTACACATCTACAACTGCAGTGATTGAAGTGCCAACACTTGCAAATTTGGTAGATATCACCACTACCACCTTGTAAGTGTCTTATGGAAGGGTGACACAATGGCACTGAAGAAAGTAGGGATTGTGCTGCTTCATATTCAGCAGAAAGATTTGATAGACACAGTACAACCCTGACAAACCACCACTGGTCCTCGTGCAGAAAAACATTTACTGGAGAAATAGGAGAATGAACATTGAAAAATAATGGTTCCAGAGAAAAGTGTTAATTATGGGATGGTAACACAAAACTGCAGAAGGACTGACCAAAGGCTAAAGAGGCCCTCCTTAAGAGTTTTGCCAAAAGGAAAAAGCCAACAGAGACCTTCAATAGTCTTCTTTCATCCCTCTGAATGTGTATGTTCACCTTTTTGTTGTTCTTTTTCCAGAAGAATTTTAGTGTTATTTTATAGTAACCATGAATTATTATTTATTTTTTTATGTTGTGTAACATAGTTCTTACTTAAAATTGCAGTTTTGTCTTTGTTTCTGGGAATTCATTTAAGATTTTTAGCTCAATCATTTTATCACATTGTTAATTATCATTATTTAATTGCTCTTATTTTTTGCATTTATTTTGAGTTGATTTGTGTCGTAACATTTACAGTGGAACCCCCAGTTACATGGGTTCAAGTTATACTGATTCACGTATACGAGCTTTATATAATGTGACAAATGTGTTTCAACTCCCACGCCACTCTGCTTCAAGTTTATGCTGTAGAACGATTGTTGATTTGGAGTTTTGAATTAATGTTACTCTGCAAGACGATAAGGAAAACTTGGATAAAGGAAAATATAGACACATCTAAATGAAAACTTTTTTTAGTTTATTAATGCAATGTTTCAAGCAGATGCTCTTCATCAGGCAATGTAGACCGTGTTACAATGGAATTAGGCTAGAAAAAACTGAAAAAAAGCACATCAACATGTTAGTCTCAGTCATGAAAAGTGCACCACTCAACCAATTAAAACGAGAAAGCCTTGAACACTGTCTTATCTTCCAATTTAACACTAAATCCCATTGTGGTGTGTGTATATATATATGAAAAATTTACTTTTAAATAATCACTAAACTCCATCAATTCTTCCCTTAATTTTCCTCCCTTGCCTTATTTCTAGACATGTTTGCAATATCGTAACTCTCCCTCTTTAACAATACCTTTTTGAAAGTCTTCTTGTAATTTCATCAAGTTGTAATTTTTGTGAGTAAAGGTTTTAGTAAGGCTATTAATTCCATTATTTAGTGTTTAAATATCCTTTTATTATGAGATAAGGGTATCAAATTTTGGTCCCAGCTCCCTATCCCCAATTTCCATAGACTTAATACTTTGAGTTACACGTTTTCAACTTGCATGATATTTTTCAGGAAAATATCCTCCATGTAACTCGGGATTCGACTGTATTTGCTTAGATGCTTTATTTTGTTTATTTATTTGAATGTAAATAAAGATATCCATGTTAAGTGTTGTGTGGCATATGATAGTGGTGATGCCATTTAGTATCTGAGAACGAAGATGGGATTATGTAGTCCTAATGTTGGGATAGAATGTTTTGAAATTGTTAAACTTGGATGGTCCTGAAATGGGGAATAAAAGAATGTAGTATTTTTAAAATACTGTAGTTTTTTTCCATTTCAAAGCTAACTTATCTTAAGATGTGTTTTGGTAAAAGTTTAAAAACTTGCACGTATTTTCTTAAACTTGGCTCGAACTGTTGTGGATGAAGCTTTATTAACTTGAATTAATCTGGTCATTGGATTAGTTGCACAGAGCAGGGATTAGTCTACAAACCTGTGCCTTTCTGTCTTGATCAATTGCCTGGTGTTAAGCTGAAACTTGTATGTGCATGAGTTAACAACAGATGGTTAATTTGGACAGAAGGAATGGGTAGGAAGACCTTGTTTTCCCTTAAATTGACATTCTGATTGAACCAGAAAGTGTATGTAGCTAGGGTTTATTGGTGTAGAAACAAAGCTGTTGAGTGAACTTTGCATTTGTCCACACAAATCTATTTTTTTTGTTCCTGAAGTTTGTCTTTGAACCGGGGTCAATGACCTTGTTACAGTATGTGAAATACTGAAATAGAATATAGTCTATTTAGGATTTGAGTGCTGTGATAACAGTAAGTTTGTAAAATAAAAACCATCTAATGCTCTTTTGTGTTGCAAATTAATGAAGATTGTTTCAGAAGTGCTAGAAATCTTTCTGCACCACTAAGAGTTATTATCTTTTGCACAACTGCCATAGAACTGCGTATATTATAAGTTTTGAACAAATTTCCACTCCTACACATGTCAATGTGTGTAGTACCAGCCTATAACATAATGCTGTAGCCCTCCACTAATAGGAAAGCAGCATGAATTCCATCTGCAGTAATCCCCGTGAGCACAAGAACATGATCATAGGCCCATTTTATCGTTGGCACTGCTTGAGTTATTTTTTCCCTGTGCTTTGAGTTTCTAGTCATCTTAATCAACATCCATTCATTATTTAATTTTGCATTGCATTTTTTCTTGTTGCACTTTTGTCCCATCCACCTCATTGAAATTTCTTTTTTCTAATCACCACATTTTTACATTGAGCTACTTTCAACAATGTATGCCAAGTACAATATACACACACATACATATATATATATATATATATATATATATATACCTACCGAGATACAAGTATACAATAAAGTAAGTAACTACTTCGCTCCTTATGTCGTTACGTTACCGTACCGTAACCAAGTAAGGTCGGCCGGAC